CCGGGGACGCCTGGCGCGTTAGGACACGCTGGGGACAGTCACGGAGCGCTGGAGAGGCCCTCTGGTCTCACAGGGGATCTGTGCTTGATGTTCTTGTTAACGTCACTAGTGGTCAAAAACAGATAGTTTTGCTTTTAATAATAACCCTTGGGTGGCTTCTCTGTGTTTGTTTCCTTCCTCTGCGGCCTCTTCTACCTCCTCTGACTATTTAAGAGCAAGGACGTTACGAGGAAGGCGTCATGGGGCCATTGCAGGGCAACTGGTGTGGGGAAAAATAACTAGGCAAAAGGTATTTTAAAATCTCTTTGCATATATATTGTGGGAGAGGGAGTCGGTAATATGAATTTACATAGCTAGTAAAATGTCACCGAATGCTACTGCTTTATATATATATATATATATATATATACTTTTTTTTCCCATTTCCCAAAGCCTTCGAGCTCTGCTGCTGTGAAATAGCCAGTGGGTCGGCTGAGCCTTTTTGGGTCGGTTCCTTTCTTTGCGTCGTGATGGCTGCCTGCGCCGAGCTGAGCTCTTGCAACAAGAGCACGCCTGGAAATGCTTGTTGGATTTGCAAGGACTTGCAAACTCTCCTTAAGTGCAACTAGTATTAATAAGGCAGGTGGTCAAAGCTTCATTCCATTGGGCAGTTAATTGTTCCTATTTGTTTTATGCCAGCAGGTTTTAGCTCCTGTGTTTGCAGTTCATGCTGTGGGGTGTCATTTTGGCTGTCTGGTATCTCGGTCTCTTTTGCAGAGATATTTTTGAAGCTCCGTGCGCGGGTTCTGACTCACGAGGTCTGTCTCAGCTGCTGCTCCCGACGTGTCGGCTCCCTTTCTCACACCAGGGCTTCGCGGCCGCGCGGGCCGGTGTTCGCTCCGGGCGCCGCCGCCGCGTCTCCCGGTGAGCACTGGCCGTGCTGGGAGCAGGACCGCGCACGAGAGGGAAATTGCCAGAAGAACCAGCCCTGGATTCCTGCCCAAACCAGCTGAATTCCGGCAGAGCACTCAGGGGCGTAGAAAAATCATCGTTTTACGAGCAGCAGCAGAGCTCGATGCAGATAGATGTGCAGCCCTGATGGCTCTTTTATCTCATGTGAAAATTAAATTGACGTTCTCCATGGCTATTTCTGTAAGAATTCTAAAGCTAAAGACCAAATCTTGGAGAATTACAGCATTTGAGTACTGAATGGAGGGTAGTATTTGTTTGGGAAGATTTCTCCTGTATATCTTCTCTAAGCAAGAAAATTCTTTAAATTCTTTATTTGGACTTTGTGATCCGAGAGGAGGTGAGGCTCCTCTCTGCATTGTGTTTTCCTTTGGTGAATCTGGTTTTTCTGTTTGACTGTTCCGTGTGCGGAGGCAGTAGCCGCGTGGCCTCCACGCGTTGCAGCCGCCTCCCGTGCGCGTCCCTCGGTGCCCAGGCCGCTCCGGAGGCCGCGGGTTGGGGTTTGTGCCCGGCTCGTTGGGGCGGCAGCGATAGCGCTGTGGGAAGGGCCCTGCTGGGCGCAGATCCGCTCCCCGGGGCGGCGCGCCGCGCGGCCGCCGTTATCGCGTTGGGCAGCGCGGCCCAGCCCGTACGGAACGAAAGGACTTCATTGGGCCGGGAGAGCTTCACGGTAGGGCTTGGGCAGGGAGCAAACACCAAGCAGGAGCTGCTGCTGTTCAGGGCCTCCCCGTACCTACATGTGGCCCAAAGCGAATTCAACTGATAAACAAGCAAAGTTTTAACAGCATCTCCAAGTTTAATATTATCCAATATTAATCCAAATATTCCAATATCCAAATACTCCAATCTCAAGTTTAATATTATCTCTTTAAGTGCTATGCAAAGAGAGTGAAGGTGTAAAAAACTGCAGTGATGACCCAAATCTCGACAGGTTTTCTTGAGATAAGTTTTCTTGAATCCGTGATAGCTTTTGGCAAATACATACATATATATATATATATACATATATATATATATGGTCCGCTCCCTTCGGAGCTAGCTTCTTCTGAACATTGCTCATGGGATTTCAGAAATAAGGTAACGGGTGGGCAGGAAGCATTTTGAAAAGAAATGGGTGGGTTTTTCACCGCCAACCATGGAGTCCAACCCTGGTGCTCATCTAGTGCACCTCAAATAAATAAATAAATATGTATATTTGTAAAGGGTGCCCTGCTGCTCTCCAAGAAGTGGCAGCGGGTGTCCTACGCTCAGGCAGACGTGGGGGAGTTCCATCCCACACGTTATGCTCGTATGGTTTGGGGTTTTTATTATGGGAAAAGCGCAATATAGGTGGAAAACAATACCTGCCCTTTGCCTGCGATGAGCTCATCTGGCAGCAGTGAAAGCCACGTTTGTGCTTTTCCAGGCTAATGAACGCAAAGGGGGCCAGCACACTTAATTACCGCGCGTCGGCACGGCCGCGGAGCGACGGGGCTGCCGGGAACGTTCCCAGCGCCGCTCCCGCTGCCCCCCGCGGGTCCGCTCCCTTCGGAGCCATCGTTCAGGGAATGGCAGGTCAGGGCCGGGACACGGGAAGGACCCGCTCTGTTAGAACCGTCGTCCTGCTTGTCCTAACAAACCAGTGTAAATCAGCAAACGTCGTTTGTCAGAGGCTGCCCAGGATCCGGCTCTGCTGCGGCGACTTGCAGGGACCAGGCAGTTCTGTGCTTTGTTTGAAGGTCTTCCTTGCATCCGTGAACCCTCCCCAACGAGCAGCAGCAGCAGCGCTGCCGTCTCCGCGCGCTGCGGGGATGCAGTCCAGTCCCCAGCCGTGCTCTTTGCGCAGATACTGCTAAAAACTTGGTGCATAAAACTGCACATCAAACCTACCAATAACCCTAATGCAGCATCAAACCTACCAATAACCCTAATGCAGCATCAAACCTACCAATAACCTTAATGCAGCATCAAACCTACCAGTAACCTTAACACAGCCCCTACCACTAACCTTAACGCAGCATCAAACCTACCACTAACCTTAACACAGCCTGACATTGCTGGGGCGAGGTAGGCAGTTCCCGCCTTTAGAACCAGCTCATAGTTCTCCTTAACTTAAGATCCCCTTAGGTTTCTTTGCAGACTTTTATCACGCCCAACTTCAGTTTGTAGCTTCAAAAACCCGGTTGCCAATAAAATCCGCAGCCGTTGGTGCAGGGTCCGAGGCGCTGACGGCTGTCATGTTTTCCTCCGTGCAGGACCAACTGAAGCAGTGCTTCTCCAGACAGCCGCCCGAGCCCAAGGACACGGACACGCTGGTGCGGGAGCCCGACAGCCGGTACGGTACCTGGGGCGAGCAGCGGCGCAGCGGGGCCAGGTAGGGACGAGCGGGAGCCCCGGCGCGCGGCCCGGGGCCTTCTGCACGTTTGGGCTCTCCTTACCCATCTGCATCACCTAAAAACATCCGCTTGGGGAGCGCGGACGGCAGGACCCGCTTGATCCCGGCGCTCGGGAGCCGCGCGTGGGCCGGGGCTGGCGGGAGCTCCGCGCCGTGGGGCGCTGCCCTCGTGCCCCGGGGGTCCCCCCCCCCG